TTAGATTTGACTTCATTGACCATGCAGGCAAGTCTAGATGCCCAGTCTGACCTGCATAAAACCAGTCCCAGACACAACCACCAGATTGGCTGAATCCAATGGCTGTATAGCGGACCGTGTAACCGACCATAATGCCCCATGCCAGTCATAAAGTAGAATGCCCCACAACCAGTCACACCTAGCCATTACGTTCAGCTTAGGGGTGCATCTTCAGCTGGCTTGGGTTGAGAATTTGTTAAAAATTTAATGGGCCCAGCCCTAGATACCGGGCCCAATGAAGTATAAGTTCTTCAAAATTCAAATTGGGTACTCGATTTGCACCCCTAATTCAGCCAATTTGGATTCGGATGAGGCAGTTCAAATTGCTTTTATATTCCTACTAAAATCTCGCCTCATAAGTAAGGTACAAAAATATAATCACAAGTTTAGCAGTAGATGAGGTTTTGGTTGGATTGGGTTACCCTAGACATCAACCCTTAACTTCACCCGATTATATCAGGTGGCATTTTTCACCTTAACCCCAGCCCAACTTCAACTCAATGGGCCAGATTGAGTTTAGGTTGGTCCAATTGATATCGGATTTGATCCTCACAAAATTGTGCTCACACTGTCCTTTTCAGCCATGCATTGAGAACAACTCCATACTTATATCTTTTTATTCATGGGGAGATGTTCCCAATACACACGGCTGTAAAGGACTGTAAGAACCGTGGGAGCACAATTTTATGAGGACCAAATCTGATTTCGATTGGACCAACCTGAACTCAATCTGGCCCATTGAGTTGAAGTTTGGGCTGGGGTTAAGGTGGAAAATACCACCTGATATAATCAGGTGAAGTTAAGGGCTGATGTCATTACCCCATGGTTTTTAAAACCGACCCAGTAAACCCCGGAGACCGAACCAGTCAGGGGTCCGGTTACTGGGTCGAACGGTCAGACCATTTTGACAAATAAATAAAAAAATAATTTAAAAAAATAAAAAATGGTCAAAACCGTTCAAATGGTTAACTGCCCAGTTCAGTGGTTCACTGACCAAAATCAACAGTTTTTGGGAAAAACGGAACCGATCACCTAATCGATTCCCGATTTTTCTGGTCCAATTTTAAAAACCATGATTACCCCTATTTGAAAGGGGTCTTTGTCAGAATCTAAAAATTCCGGGGAAATTGCCATTACCCCTAGAGTACAGGGTAGCAATCTGTATTTTTATCTTTTCTTTTTCCAAATTAATCTAAGTACATTCATTTATGAATTCATGTAATAATTGTATCTAATTTTCCTAACAAGGGATGTTCCCAAATTAGAGCCCATAGATAAGTTTACAAAATATAAATTTCTTCTAGAGATGCTTTGCCATTTCCATCCAAAGAGAGGTACTCCATGTGAAAATGGGCCTGGATTTGGGCACCACTAGAGTGAAGACAATGAAATCCAAAAATGAAGTGTTATAAGTTTTTAGTATAATTAGAAGACAATGCATAACTGGGGAGAAGAAGTCAAACAATAACAAGACTAAAAGACTATAACCATTCAGGATCCATGTTGGTGATAGTACTGCACTGCTGTCAACTTCATGTAGTCCTACTTGGTTGAGGAATCTTATCTTTGAGGAACCCCATAAGTCAGAAACTGACCCAAAAGCTTTCTCTCTCTCTCTCGTCATTTAAAGTTATGTGGACTTTGATTCAATAATGGGAGGGGGGACCTAGCTGACATGAATGGAACTGGGATGAGATCTGTATTCCACCATGTCCCCTTTTAAAATGATAAAGCCATGTGTGTTTCAGAGAGAGAAAGAGAGATTGGATAAATGAATTCACGATTTTCTTTTATCATTTTATATCGCTTAACAACAATGTCCAAAAGTTCTGTAGCTAATTAGGGAACACCCCCCCCCCCCCCCCCCCATCCCTCTCCTAGAAATGGTCTCTGAATTGGAAAGCAGAAAAAAAATGAAACTATCAATATAATATGCCCAACCTTGTTTACCATCCATATGGTGGTTTGAAAATGATCAAATTGTTGAAGACTATTTTGTTCATTTGAATAAAACTTATAGTTTTTTGTTAACATGGCTGATTAATGCTTCACCTATGTCAATATTTTCTTTTCTTTCTTTCTTTCTTTCGTTTTTTACTTTTTATTGACCGGGAGGGAGTGCTTAACAGCCAAGTCTATACATTAATGAACACAATGAAAATGGTATAGCGGGCCAAGTACTTACTAAGAATTTTATCAAGTAGTGACGATATTCACGTAGAAAAAATAATAATAATAAATTTCAATTTCTAACATTGATATAGCCTTTTATATGGAAGGTACAAAAATGTACAATGCAAAGCAAAGTCTTGTATATAGTATTTCTAAACCTTGTATTCGCACTGGTGCATTCTTTCCAAAGTGAGCCTAAAGGACAAATACAGTAATTGGTTATCCTACAAATCTCCTCACAACATTTTATCTTTCATGTTTCTGTTCATTATTTCCTTATCATTCTCTCCACGACTTCATCACTACCAATCCAATGGTTTACCATTGTCCTAGAAGACGACCACCTTCTTCAACCATGCTACCTTGTATATCCTTCCTTTTCTTCTTGAATTGCTGAAACCAATTGTTGGAGCAATACATTAAGGCTATGTTTGGTTTGAAGGAAAAGGTAGGGAAAGGAAGGGAATGGTAGGGAAATTCATACAAGATTTGTAATGGTTTCCCTACCTTTCCTTTCCTTTCCTACTTTTTCCTTCAAACCAAACAGTGTAAAGGACCAATTTTAATCCCACTTGTCTACTTAGGCTATGTTTTGAACATCCAAAAAAACGACACCACATTGGTGCCATGCCAGAGATTCAGTGTTTGGGAAAAGTGGAAAACAACTCTTATTTGATTGTACCTTGAAAATCAGGAAAAACGTGGTCTGAGAAAACACCATTTTGATGTTTTTTCTCATTTTTATAACCATTGCTACCAATGGTTTGCTGATGTGGCAATGAAAAATACCCAAGTGGCAGCAATGGAACCAAACAACAAATAATGCCGTTTTCTGAAAAAACAGCATACCATTGCAATGCTGTTTTTCTAAGAAAACTGCCATGGAGAAACAGCATCGGTTCCAAAAACATACTTAATGTTTCCATTGAATCTGCCGATCTTGTTATTGGACACCAAAAAGTATGAATAGTTGTCACTGATCTTCGGTCTATCCATTACTATGGTCCTATTTGGCGTGTCTTTCCGCATGGGCTCAGTTGTTTAGAAGCCTGACAACCCACGGTTTCATCTTTTCCTGTTTGGTTGGGGGAAGATCTAGCCGCCAAGACTCCGCCCTGAAAAGATGCAGGAAGCCTGTTTCAGACTATTTTCAGAAAGCTCTAAATGAAACTTTTCGACTTTTTTCGTCTTGTCTTCATGTGGAAAGACACTCCTCCAATCAAACGGTCATGGGATGCCAAGATCTTTATGTAAAAACCCACTGTCTTTTGGCTGTCAGATCTTCTAGATCATCTTTTAAATTAGAAGAGGTGCATGCAATACTGCATGTGAGAGCTTCGGTACTGAGATGAAGAAGTGAAGGAAGATATATCAGAGAAGAGAATGAATGGGTGGCCCTAAATTGTCATCTCCAACTCTTGTTATCAACTGCTAGAAAACTAGAAAATGGAGAAAGGTATCCTGGTTCGATAAGATTTTATAGAAGTGTTATGGAAAAGAGTTAATAAACCGAAGAAGAGTGGAAAAATATTGCAAATCAAATTGTGTCAAAGTAAATAGCAAGTAAGATGTCTCATCAATTTGAAAATTTAAATAACTGGGGAAAAAGGAATGATATTTTACAATCACGATTTTAGCTATATGAATATCCTCTCTCATGCATTGTGCTCTATCAAGAACCATGATTTTCCTCACTTATCATTGTACCCAGGTGCTGATTGTAATCAGAACACTCTAGCATCATATTTATATTGACATGACAAAGGCTTTTATGTTGGACTCCGACCCTGGTGTGCATATTACACACACCACAACTTCTCAGGAGAGAACAACTGCAATTGTAACCTAGGATGTAATTCAGATTGTGATGTGGACAGGCAATCTTTAAACCACAGGATTTGCAAAGCAGGAGATTCATTCAAATCCCGGGTTGAAGATTGCTTTTACACATGGATGCAATTTGGACCAAGGGATTCATCCATGCCTTTATTTGCTCTGTAAAATTTAATAGACTTATGGTGCAACTCAATTGATCTGAAGGCACTGTTAGAAATCCTGAACCATTCTCGTTCATGACTTCATGTGGACTCTAAGAGCAACAAATATCATCACTGCAGATTCTCTATGACTATCAGGGAAGGAGTTACATGGGATAGATTGGGGCAGGGCACCTGGCCTGTAAACAACAAAATTTACATACAGCCCCATAGGAGCATGGTACCATCAGAGTTAGGTGCCATCTTTGATACCTGAATATGGCAAGGACATCATTGGAAACAAAATATACAGTATTGGATAAAAAATTTACACTAAAGCTGAAGCTTCCAACAAGATATGAAGCCTTTGCACAGGTTAGCAGGTCAGTTGACGTAAGTAGAAATGGGTGGGGATAGTGCAGGCTGCATTTTAGGCCCAGTGGCCATGCCATAAAGAGCCTGCAGTTCTGCAGGGCCAATCCCATTAGGCCATTACTCAAGGAGTGATGCCAAATAACCATAACTACTGGGTCATTCGAAACCTGTTAAATATTTGATTATACTACTATCTTTATCCTAGTGATGATCCTGTCATTCCAAATACTTTTAAGGTTGGGTAATCATTTTCTTTCTATTTGTACAGATATATTGAGGTTTTCCATATTTCAACCAATTATTGGTTCACTGTTTCTGATTGAAAAATCATTCAATTTAATATGACATTGCGGTGTTTACAAAAGAGAACAGAAAACCAAAAAATATAGCATAAAAAATTGATGATATATAAAAATATGAAAACTGAAACCAAGAAACTAGTCAAGAACTCGATCTGCTTTCAACCATGCAAAGGCACAAGGCCCATAGGCACCTTTAATATCATCTAATGCACAAGTCAACTACATCACACAAGCATTTCAATGCATTAGAAATTCAAAAACATAGTAATACTGCAGTCAATGACATCAAGTTTAACACCTCAAATTATCAGCTTCTACCATTTTGTAGCATCTTTCATTGCTTGGATTCACCTACCAAATAGATGAGTCAATGACCTTGAACAAATAGCTGGTTGATACCTGTTATTTTGTGGGCTTCCTCTGATAAATCAACTACTATTTGAGCAGCTATGAAGCATTACTGGATTTGAGTTTTGATGGTAACACAGGAAATTTTCCAAATCTTTCAACTCCTTCAGTTTAAGGTCTTGATGTCTGAGATCAAAGCCTTAACGCAGAGTCGAGGCTTCGTACTGACAAGATTACTTGGAAGCACTGAGACAGCAACCACTAATGATCCATTTGGTACCCCAGAAAGGGGTAACAACTCAACAAGAATAGCCAACTGTATATTTAAATTATGGTCAGCACAAGAATATTTGATATGCATGAATATCATTATATACTAATGTTAACATCCAAAGAGATTTTACGCAGGATTGTTATATACTAATATTAACATCCAAAGAGATTTTATGCAGGATTGAGAATGTGAGCATCCAGTTTTAATTCTTCACATACTAGAACATGTATTCTAACTGTAAAAAAAAGAGGAAAGAAACAAATTTATATACCTGTGGAGCCTTGAGGTCCACAACTGAATCTGGTAAAACATCCTTAACTGCACCAGCCACAACACTGAAGCACTTTTCTCGATCTAATAAATTGAATGAACTAGAATCTTTTGAAGTATTTCTCTGAGTCTTCATCTCAGTCTCTTCTATCCCTCTTCTATTATAACCAACTGCAAACTACAAATGTCAAATAAGATGTAGTGTGGGGAAAAAGAATTAATTCGAACTGCAAGTGTGGCTTTTTCAATTATTTATTTTCTTGCTTTCTTTTCCTTTCTTTTTTTTTTCTTTTCGAGGGGGGTTCACTCATAAAATCTTGAAAATTTCCATCTCAAACATCTTCAAGCACCAAAGCAAAAAATAAGACCATAATTGCATATTTCAGTGAAATAACATAGATGGTGTTTGGTATGGTGGTGTTTCAAGTGGAATGTTTCAGCTTGAAGTATAGTGTTTGAAGCAGTGTTTTCAACCTGCTGTTGACCCAGCTGGTTGAACCGTCACTTGGCCAAGATTCTAGGTCCAGTTTCTTGAAGAGAGAAGGAAGATAGAAGGAGAATAAGAGAAGTTGAAAAGAGAAGAGAGCAATGATCTGGCCGCCCCCTTCACTTATTATTTATACTAAAAATAATAGAACAATACAAAGAAAACTATGCCCTTATAGGGCAGCAAAACATAAAACAGCATATATAACACTCAAAAAATAATAAAATTTAGACTCACAAAACAACTATGGTTCCCACCTCCTATCTAACAACTAATATAAAACATCTATTCAGAAAAACATCATAAAACTGATTAATCTTCAACACTCCCCCTCAAGTTGGAAGTAAATGTCACACATTCCCAACTTGCGTAGATCATGTTCAAGCTTGTTCTTTGCCACCCCTTTAGTGAAAACATCAGCCAGCTGCAACTCTGAAGAGATATAAGGCAAACAAACTTCTCTGGTTGTTACCCTTTCTCTTATAAAGTGTCTATCAACTTCAATGTGTTTTGTCCTATCATGCTGAATTGGATTGTGGGCAATATTAATTGTAGCCTGATTGTCATAGTATAACATCATAGGTTCCTCTACTTTCACCCAAATCTCACTCAAAAGAGATCTAACCCAAAGAAGTTCTGAGACACCATGAGCCATGGATCTATACTCAGCCTCTGCACTTGACCTTGCCACAACCACTTGCTTCTTACTCTTCTAGGAGATCAAGTTTCCACCTACAAAGGTACACACTCCTGATGTAGACCTCCTGTCATCTAAGCATCCTGCCCAGTCTACATCTGTATAGGATTCTAGATTCAGATTCTCATGATTTGAGAAAAGAATCCCTCTGCCAGGGTGCTTTTTCAGATATGCAAGTATTCTCTCAATAGCTTCCCAGTGCTAAACCCGACGTGCATGCATGTATTGACTCACAAGATCGACAACATAAGAAATATCTGGTCGTGTCATACACAAATACAGCAGTCGGCCCACCATTCTTTGGTATCTCCCCACATCCTTCACCAACTAGCCATCCACACCATTAATTCTGTGATTTGGATCAATAGGAGTGTCTGTTGGTTTGGTCCCTAGCTTCCCAGTCTCCCGCAGTAGGTCAAGTACATACTTTCTTTGTGAAATGAAGATCCCATGCTTGATCTTGCAACTTCAATCCCCAAGAAGTATTTGATTTCACCAAGATCTTTGATCTCAAATTCTTGCAGCAATGATTTTTTGAGATCATCAATCTCCTCCAGATCATTTCCTGTCACCACTATATCATCCACATACACAATCAGAATTGACACCAGAGCATCTCTCTTCTTCACAAAGAGGGTGTATGAGTGCCCCTCTAAACCTATCAAACCAAGCCCTAGTTGACTGTTTCAGTCTATACAGAGATTTTCTGAGTCTACACACCTTTCCTTTACTAACATTTTCATAAAAGCCTGTTGGAATGTCATATATACCTCCTCCTGTAAATCACCAGAGGAAAGCATTTTTTATATCAAGTTGGAACAAGGGCCATGAATAGGTGGCTGCTAGAGATAAAAGGATATGAACTGAACTCATCTTAGCTACTGGTGCAAAGGTTTCTAGATAATCAACACCATAGGTTTGAGTATACCCTTTTGCTACCAACCTTACCTTGTACCTCTCTATCTTGCCATCGGCCTTATACTTCACTATGAATACCCATCTACATCCGACTGTCTCCTTGTYTGGGGGRAGATCAACTAYTTCCCAAGTTTGGTTTTTGACCAAAGCATCTATCCCATCTTGCATGGTTGTTTTCCACTCAGGTTTGGAGAGAGCCTCAGTAACATTCCTAGGTATAGACACAAAATCTAGGGAAGAAAGAAAAGCACGGTAGGAAGGTGATAAGGCATTGTAGAAAATATGGTGTGAAATGCAGTGGGTTGTACACTTTCTCTTCCCCTTACGAAGTGCAATGGGAAGATCAAGGTCAGTGGGATCAACTGCAACAATGATGCTAGGGACAAGAACATTATCATCAAAAAATATAACAGGCGCAGGCTCAAGAGGAATGCTTGGAACTGTATTTGCCGAATCTGGAGTTTCAGAAGGACTGTTAGAGAGTGGTGTGGGATCAGCTGTAACAATGGTGCTAGGGACAGGAACATTATCATCAAAAAATATAACAGGCTCAGGCTCAAGCTCAAGAGGAATACTTGGAACTGTATCTGCCGAATCTGGAGTTTCAGAAGGACTGTTAGAGAGTGGTGTGGGTTGAGGATGTGTGGAGTCAACCATCATATGCCGGCGCTGATATTTCTACGAGGCTGCTTGTAGTGGCTTAGGTAATGAAACTGGAGGTGCAGGTGCTAGCTAAACTGATGGAGATTCTAGCTAAACTGATGGAGGCACCAAAGAAACAGGAAGAGGAACAGATTGTGAGTTCTCCTCCCCAAAACTCTCCCCCTGAGGAGAACCACTCGAGAAGAAGGTGGATTCAAAGAAGGTAACATCCATAGTGACAAATCTGCTCCTCGACACTAGGTCATAACAGTAATACCCCTTCGGTTCTGAGCATACCCAAGAAAAACACATTTCTTGGCCTTAGGATCCAATTTCTTGCAATGAGGGCCAAGAATGTGAACAAAGGAAACACAACCAAAAACCCTCAGAGGTATATCAAATATCTCCCCACCTGGAAAAAGAAGACTAAATGGCACCTTAAACCCCAAAGTCCGTGAAGGAACGTGGTTAATCAAATGCATGACTGTAAGAACTGCATCTCCCCAGAACTGCACAGGAACTGAATCACACACCATAAGACTCCTTGCCACCTCCACAACGTGTATGTTTTTCCTCTCAGCAACTCCATTCTGTTGCGGTGTATATGCACAACTACTCTGATGAACTACACCATGTTCTAAGAGATACGTGGTCAGGTCCTTCTCAAAGTACTCTCTGGCATTATCTGATCTAAAAACCTTAGTTCACACTCCAAATTGTGTTAAAACCATATGGTGGAGCTGTCGT